CTGCCGGAGTCAATAAACACGTGGCTGTCCAAACGCCGCGGCCTAGGCATGGTGTGTTGCGGCCTAGGCATTGTTGTATCATTGTTTTTTAACACTTTGACAAACTTTTTGGGCTACTGTTGTAATCCCAGCATATGATGTCCGAGTATAACATGGGTATTACATATAGAGTGGACGCTGTTTATTGTAAAGATGATTATGGTTATCATTCGGCAAACTTTCTCATTTTTATGATGTCGAGCATGAACTCACATTACATCATTAAGAAAACGTCGTGTATTGTGATCAGTGATCGTTTCGTGTTTATCATTATTTTGAAACTCAGTTTCATTTACGCACTTTTGATCCCTTATTTGTCACGCATACAAATACAATTCACTGTTCGCGTAAAAAAATGACCATCGTATACAATGGAAAACGAATTGTTATAATGTGTGGCTATAGATAAGGACGTAACTACATCCGTTGTGCAAACAGAAGACGACACATTATGTAAAATTGTTTCTTATACCGTTCACATGTGGTAGCAAGAGGGTGTGGGGAAGATAAATGTTAAGCACGACGATGCTATGGAAACGTCTCAACTTTCAACATCAGCTGAAACAAGAGAGGCATTACAAAAAATTGGTACGTGGTGTTCAGCACAGGTCAGTTGATTTCCAGAAACACTTTATGTACGAGATTTATATTAATTAAATCTTCTAAGAAAACCCAAAGCAGATCATAATCGAGGACTTTTTTAAATCATATAAACAGTGCGTGACATTGTAATCGGATTTTAAATTGTAATAAGTTTCCCTTTTTAGTTAAGGCATGAATTGAAAGAATGCAGAAATGGTTTTAATGAAATAATGAAAACAAAAATTCCCATATTTAATATAGCATGAAATAATGAATAAAACAATGAAAAAATGTCCATTGTAGAAAAGTCAAAGTTTCCTTTCGTTTTAACGTATTAATCGAAAACGTAAGAAATCGTGGAATGTTTGGAATATTTTGTTCAACACAGTAGCTATATCAGATCAGTATTATGGAAACAAAACCTAAAAACAATGTGTTGGTACAGTTTTGGCTTTAATTTTCTCTTTCTCTGTTTATTATATGGATTTGAAATGAAATACGAGTATGCAACCCTAAGTATTTCACTTTGGAGTGGGTTTTTATCCTTGTTATCTCGGAAGAAAATTATATTGAACGGTTTTTAGATGTATATTTATTATTTCAACCAATAAGATTATTTTTTCTTATAAAGCATCATTAAATATGAAAAATAATACGAGTATATGACGTAGTGTGGCATACTGTGTCTCATATAGTTTAGTTTGTTTAGGTTAAAATAATAATTTGCACAAATATGAACAGCATTTACATTTCAACATAGTTTTTCCAATAAAACATAAATGACACGAAAATATCCGTGCTATGTTTGTAAAATATATTCGTATATTACAAATTATTAGTGAAACTTAAATTCGCTAAAAAGGACACGTTCACTCACAACTTGCGTTATACGCGCACGCAGCAATATTCGTCATAATGGTGGACGTCTTTTATATTCGAGTATAAATGGCTTCCGCTCTGCATCCTGTATTTTATGGAGGACGTTCATATTACAGCAGAACTCGCATCGTTTATAGACGTGGACGTCTTTTCATATAAATCAGGAGGTCCCTGTCACAAATATCACAAGGACACGCATGTGGAAGCAAACAAAAACAGCAAATATTCCGTGCGCTGGTGAAATAAAACATTCCTTGTCAGGAAATGAATATATTAATGTTTTTCAGAAACTCTACCAGAGATGAGTGGTATTTGGTCAATGTTTTCAGCCAGACGTAATCTGTACTCCGAATGGAGAGAGTTCATTTCGAACCAACTTAAGCAGAAAATGGGTCATTTAATGTTTACAATTCGAGAAACCAACATTCATTATTTATGTCGTATTTATGCTAAAAAAAATCGTATAAATTTCGTCAAAATAAACATTTTTTTTAAAATGGCGAATGAAATAAAATTAAAATTCATTCAAATAATATAACTGTATTTCAAAAAATATGTAAACTTTCAGTAGAAAATGAATGTATTTTCCTTAAATACGCGAATTCGATTTTAAAATACTCAATTAAAATATATACTTAAAACTTTAGTAAGCGCTGTCTTTAATGTAGACGATATAAAAATAAGTGAGTGAATGAAATTAAATAAAAACTATACGGTCATTTAATTAATAAGGATAATACAGTTCTGAATTATTTTCAGATATATTTTTCACATTTTTTATTCCAAATATCACTCAATATCACTCTGTTCATTGAGCGATTCATTTGTACCGAAATATATCCTAAATAGGAGCAGTCATCAAATCCATCAGAATAAGTCTCTGTGCGTTACCGTGCATAGTCTCAGCAATATCCAGTCACACCATTCACATCTGAGCTCACTATACCACTGCCTTCGGTATCAGGGAAACACCCATATAATTCGATTTTTATAATGTCATTCGTAACGAGCGTATTTCACTATCGTGCCCTTAGACCTTAGATACCACTACACACATCCCACTGCTTGAAACGGTCGAGATCATGCGACATCTAGCGGCACGACTGAGATAGATACGAAATGCTGTGAGATATTCCATCGTGAAGATAGTCCCTGGTTCGCCACGTTATAAAAAACTGAAGTATACCTACCCAGATGGTGGAGGAATCTTGTAATCGCCCTCACTGCAGCGGCGGGGGGGGGGCAGGGAGAGGGATAAACGACCTGGTTGGTGCTGACCTGACCGCTGTGACCTAACCCACTGTGCCTTGCTCAGCTACGACCTATACTGCGTTTTTTCCAACTCTGCTCCTGGCAGGTATCAGCTGATGACGATTTCATCCAATAGGGAGCTTGAATGAGCAAATGCCACGCTAACGCCCTCACACAATCCAGGAGCTATTTCATAGGTCGTTTGACCAGTAAAAGTACATGGAGTGGTAATATGTTGCCTGATTGAAGACATTAATGATCCAGTCTGGTGTAATGTCCAAGGTGATGATATACACCGATGATTGAAAGTTCATTTGATAATAACTTTCACAAAAGCATTACTTATTTTAAAACAAAATTGACACAAAATATCGATGACCATCTAGGATAATTCAAAAAAATCATAGCATCAAATTGGTGGCTTAATTAATAAATTGGTAGTCGATGTTATTGTCAAACAAGATTTATTAAATGTTTATTGGGTTGTATAATTTCTTATGTAAGTACGTATAAAAATGGCGTCAGGATTATAAAAAATATACGAAACGTTATGTCATTTCAAACCAAAACGAAATGGGAAATTCTTAGAACGCGCTTCAGTAGCTCACCATTGAGTTTGTTCGTTTCACATATTTTAATTATAAATATTTTGTTTTCAATTATTTGGTAATTGGTGACCCTTCAATAGACAAAAATTAACTTACAAACTGTTAATTACATGTCTAAATAACTCAAGACAAAATAACGTTTTTAATGTCTTTCTCCACTCCAAACACCATTCGACAGTATCACTCCAGTGATCTTAACAGGGTCAAAACATCTTTGGAATGAGGCTATATAACAATGTGAATCCAAGCTCTATTTGATGTCTAAAAAATATTACACCCACATTTTTTCTTCTCTACTCCAACAAGAACAACAATAATAATAATTCGGGTCGAAACGTCTTTGTAGTTGAAATACAAAATGTACTGTTTGGTATTTGTGGCACTTTCTTATATACGTAATAAACAGCTCGAATTAGGGTTTTGTCTGTTAATAATGGTTATTAAATGGTAATAGTAATTTATGATAAGGCAGGTAAAAGTGAGATGAGTCCTAGGTCGAAAGCGCAATCCTGAGCGAAATAAAAACACTTATTCCACGTGTGTCATACAAAATTTTCGAGATTCTTACTGACTTTTATTTTGTTTTAATTCCACTTCATAAATCATTTACTGCTACATTAAGGTCAGCAGTGGTGGATGTGTTCAGACGAAATTAATTTATTTCCTTTGTTGCATTCACAGATTTATCTAAACACTTAAACCTCGTCTTACTTTAAGCGCTCGTGATAACATTTGAACTTTTGAATGCCCTGAAAGACACGGTTTTACTAGTGGCAGTCTAAACAGAAACTTTGTTTAGTAATTCCTAATGACAGTCTAAAATTATATTTTGTTTTAGTAAATACTTGGCTGTCCGTGTGAGAAAATTTGTTTTAGAAATCAAAGATGATTTGTTTGAGTAAATATTAGTAGCAGTCCAATTTAGTTTTAGTAAATACTAACGACAGTTTAAAAATAAATATTGTTTTAGTAAATATTAGGCTGTCTAGGAGAGAAAATTTGTTTTAGTAAAAACAGATTTGTTTTAGTAAATACCAGAAGCAGTCCTAAAAGAGACTTTGTTTTAGTCAATACTTGTGGCAGTCTAAAAACATTTTGTTTCAGTAAATACTTGGCTGTCTGGGAAAGAAAGTTTGTTTTAGCAAATATTAGTGATAGTCCAAAAAGAAACTTTATTTTAGGAAATACTAGCGTCTGTTAAAAATTTTTTTTTTTCGTAAATACTTGGCTGTCTGGGAGAAAAAAAATTAGTTTAGTAAGTACTAGTGGCTGTCTGAAAAGAAACTTTGTTTTAGTAAATACTAGTGACAGTCTAAAATTATATTTTGTTTTAGTAAATATTTGTCGGTCCGAGAGCAAACATTTCTCTTAGTAAATACTAGTGGTATTCCAAAAAATCTTTATTTTTGTTCTAAAAATATATTTTTTCGAGTAAATACTTGTGGCAGTCTGAAAATAAACGTTGTTTTAGTAAATACTAGTGGCAATCTAAAAAGAAACTTTCTTTTAGTAAATACTACTGGCAGTCTAAAAATATATTTTGTTCGAGTAAATACTAGTGGCAGTCTGAAAAGAAACGTTGTTTTAGTACGTACTAGTGGCGGTGTGACAAGAGGCTCAACGGTGTTGGTGGGTGCGCAGGGCGCTGCTGTGCGTGGGCTTCTTCCTGTCGGCGCTGTGGGCCGGCCTGCACGTGTGCTCGCCCGACGTGTTCGCCTGGAACACGGGGCTGGTGGTGCTGAACGCGCTGCACGCGGCGCTGCTGGCGGCGCGCCACCTGCCGCCGCCGCTGTCGCTGGAGCTGGCCGAGCTCTACCTCAAGCTCTTCAAGCCCCTGCGCGTCTCCAGGAAGCACTTCAAGGTACTTGAGCGCACAGACTTTTTATTTATTTATTTATTTATTTATTTATTTATTTATTTATTTATTTATTTATTTATTTATTTATTTCTCGATCGTATAAAAATTTAAATTTCTACGCGTTGTCACTGTGCAAGAAACACTTTCTTTCTCGATGGGAAGAAGGCGTTTGTAGCTAGAGAAGTAAGAAAATAATGCACGCATTAATAGTAAAACAAGTTATATTTCGCTATTGGTAAGCTCTTCACTATTATTAAACTCTTCCCATTAACTATTAACTTGCAATTAATTATTTAAATTTAATGATTACGTAATTATTAAAAAATACTATGAAACTCGTAGTAACTCCTTAGATGCACTATAATTTCTCAAATAATGGTAAGTTTTCTTCGTAAATACCTTAGGAATTTTGGTAAATAAGTTAGATTCTGCAGATTTCGGATATTCTAACAACTCCTGTGGAGTGTGAGGGTTTTTTAAACCATTTTAAAATTCAATAATTGTAGTTATTAATCAGACATACATTATGGAACTGCTATAGAAAGAAAAAGTCTTACTATTACTCGCGCAACTTTTCTTGAACGATGGCCATGCTTCTCCCTCTTTGGCACAATAAACAGATGAAGGCAAAAGCTCACAGCGAGCAATGATGACAACATTCCAAACACATCTTCCCTGGAAGGAAATAAAAACTATTTTTTAATGAAGATGAGAACTTCTGTCCGTGATTTTCTCTAAAAATCTAAAAAAAATCACCGAAGCAGTTAAAGATCCATCACAGTAGATACTTCGAAATCCTGAGAAAATTAGAACACTAATTATTGAGGCAGTTGTGAAGGCATGACTGATTCTCCAGGAACTGGGATTGCTTCATAAAATCTAGTGGTCGATTTCATAACCAATACCCCCACTCTAATCGCATTTCTTCAATCCATTGTTCAAGAAAAGTTGCGCGAGTAATGCCTTATGACGTGAAAGCAGGGCCACCTGTTACACAGACGTTAACGAAGGTAGGGGTTCTTTTCGAAAAAAATGTGAGAAAAACAGATCATCAAACGTCAGAAAAAAACTAGAGAAAAAAACAGATCATGGTTCGTAATAAAAGCATTTTTATACGATCGTAAAAAAATTGTTTATATTTTATAAACAAAACGATTGTTTTTTATCGATCTCGTTTTTTTGTCTCGACCTGTAGATCTCGGCAAAAATCTCAATTTTGATCGTGCAAAAAAACAATCATTTTTTAACGCTCTCAATATAAAAATAACTACGTTTCGATATAGAAAATATAGCCACTTTACAGAACTGATGGAATACAATTCGATACAAATGTACACAATAATAATATAATAGATTGGATGTGTTAATTCTCAATGGGAAATCAAGGAGAAGCATTTAAGAGTAAGTCGTGGTGTTTTGTGGGGTGCGTGGGGTGAAAGGGAGTGTCGGGTGGTTGCCTGCGCAGGAGCTGACGCGCGAGGGGCAGGTGCTGCGGCTGCAGCCGGGCGACACCTACGCCGTGGAGGAGGTGACAGCCGCCGACGAGCGCCTCTCCGTGCTGCTGCGCGGCAAGTGAGTCCCTCTGCGCGGCGCCGCCACCTGCGACTTTGGCTTCCGCTGCGACTGCGACTGCATTTGCGACTTCGAATGTGCCTTCGAATGCCTCTGTCGTTGTGACTGCGACTGGATTCGGATTGGGGTTTCGAGTGCTACAGATACTGTGACTCTGACTTTGACTGCATCTATAACTGTGACTGCGACTGTGAGAGCAACTGCAACTGTCACTGGAACTGTGACTACGACTGCGACTGTGAGAACAACTGCAACTGTCACTGCAACTGTGACTGCGATTGCAACTGCGACTGCATCTGTGGCTGTGTGAGCAACTGCAATTGTCACTGCAACTGTGACTGCGATTGCGACTGCGACTGCGACTGCATCTGCGGCTGTGTGAGCAACTGCAACTGTCAGTGCAACTGTGACTGCGACTGTATCTGCGGCTGTGTGAGCAACTGCAACTATCACTGCAACTGTGACAGTGACTGCGACTGTATTTGCGACTGTGAGAGCAACTGAAACTGTCACTGCAACTGTGACTGCGACTGCGAAATCGACGGTGACTACTACTACGACTGTGACTGAGACTCAACTGAGACCGGGTCTACAGTTGCAAGTGCGACTGCAAGGCAGCTAAGCAAAGAGGCGCCTTTGGCTCCAAGGAAAGGCAACCCGCAAGACACGATTATTGAGTGAGTGAGCGAGTGTGTGTATGTGACTGGCTGAGAGAGAGAAAGAGAGAGAGAGAGAGAGAGAGAGAGATATGAGTGAGTAAGCGAGTCAGTGAATAATGAAGTGAGTCGAGTTTTTACTTAGTGTTCCCAGGCGCGTTAACTGCCATGGTTGTCGGCCCATGGTATAGTTCCCATGTGTGTTGTTAATGTTATATCCCGGGTGGGGGCGCTGTTCCTCCCCAGATAGATCGTGAGATCCGGCACCAACCTACACCACGGCTTGCTATGGTTTTTCACCGTCAAAGTATTTCACCATCAAAGATTTTTTTCCCGCGGTATACCACCTAAGCCAAAGCGAACTCTGATCTCCCGACTGCGCGCAAGTGTAAATATACTCGTACATATGTATTTCTGTACGCGGTGAAGAAGGTATGAGGATGAAGAACGGAAGATCTCGCGCGCTTCGTGTCTCTTTCGTTTCGGTACATTAACGGCATCTACGCATTCATCGAAGGAACTAAATAAAACCACCGGCAAGAAAAGCCGGCCGCTAGAATTGTTAACCGCGCAATAATTGAATTCGACTTAGCAAAATACTTATAGTGTCAAAAATCAATCTCTGCCACGTCTCGAACCAGAGAACCACCCGGTCAGAAATTTCGTACAGGAAACGGATGTTACCAATGATTTATTGCACCCAGTACGATATTTTGTGATATACAATTCGGGAGACACCCGTAACTAGCACGGTTTTCAATACTTCGGCGTGTTTCTGCAATCTCTTTCATGATGAATTTCAAAGTTATGACCGTTACATTGATATCCTAGGATCATTCCTTGGAAGCGTCGTCTGTTGGGCTGCCTAGAATCCATTGACTTCTTACCCGAGCCAACGATTTGACGATCGTCGATATCGTTTGTAAAAGTAGCACTTGGAGAATCCCACCCCTTCTAACCTAGCAACCTTTTGTGAAAACAACGAGAGATAATTTTTTCTCAGGACACTTTTGCGGGTCTACATGCCACCTCGTTTCAAACAATCATGTCAGTCAGTAGATGTTGGTATATGAAGAATCGAATTTTCTATTTTTAGTTCGGAAGAGATAATATGTGTTAAGTTAGTTGCCAATGTATGGAATACTATCGTGTTATTTATAAATTACAACTCTTACATCTCTAAACTCCCGACCGGTCCCAGAGCATATGTGGCAGTGTAGCGTATATGTAACTGTAAGAGTGTGTAAGAAAGGGGTAAGGATAAAAGGATGGGAAACGTATGATCATGCGATTTCCATGGCCCATTTGTTAGGTTACTGCTCCGGTATTCGCCTGGCATGGAACAGAGAAAACACGGAATAATACCGATCAGAGCAGCCGGTCGCTAGAATTCTCCTCCATGCAGCGACTGAACTCGATCTAGCTATTAGCAAGTGTCGAAAATCCTGCCACCGTCGGAACTCGAACCTTAGGACCTCGCACTGCATTGACATCAATTTTTTGAAATAATATCCACATTCAGTTTAGGCGCATCTTTTGATGCGTGCAATCAGATGAGGAACTGGGGTGGAACGCGGTTAAATATTCATCGTCTTAATGCGAGAACCCTCACGTTCGAACGCTCTGAATAAGGAATTGAATTTGAGTTGTGAATCCGCGATGCGTGAGCATGTGTCTTGGCCTTCTGCCCGAGAGCGCCAAACAAGTGGAGCACGAAACAGCTCCATTTGGACTCGTGCTTCAGCTCTCGGGAGCCAGATCTCGTTCGCACGATTCAACCTGAACATTTGGCTCACCACCGGACTCCGCCTTTTAGTGTGTCGTAGTCTCAAAGAATATTAATTTCGTGTGTCTTAAACGTTCTGTAAAAAAATTAATACAGTATAACCTGTAATGTTGTAGGGAGGGTAATAGATTACTGAATTTACTGAATTTAATAAATTTACAAAATTTATTAATTATTACTGCATTTTAGAAACGAAAAATCGTCTTTATATCCGGGTATCCTTCATTGAAATGTTCAGTATTGAACCATTGAAAATATGAAATATTGAATCACACTGAATTAGATTAACAGCTATTAGCCTTGCAAAGGTAATAGGAATGCATAAATTTCAGCACGGTTCCTGCTTAGTGGTCACAGTCATGTAATTTTTTCTTCTTCTCTTTTAGTGGCTTTTGAAATATCGTATATAGAACCTGACAGCTCAACCGAGGAAAAAGCAATGCCTATGCTACATAATGACTTGTTGAAGTTAGTCTCATTCCTGTAGACTGATGGGCATGATATAGTGGATAAGTTCTCATTATTCTATTCAAAAAATATGCCATTGAAATCCGACAAGTGTTAATCGGGCGTGTTACAACGACATTAATCACTGTCGAGAGTAATCAGTATGGCATTGCTAATGAATACAAGGCCTTGTAATGTTAAAGTACGGCTACTACTTCAGAAACACAATTTTACATTTTTAATGTAACGATTAATTATTTATGATCCTTGAACGGAAGAAATATTGCAGGCAGTTGAGATCTTTACCTAGTCATTTATTTCAGTGTCTTTTCAGATAAACTGAGGACTCAAACCGCTTACAATATTCCTTGATACATCTTATTTTATAAAATAACATATCAAGAATTTGATTTCCTTAATACTTGCATTCCCATGTTATTTATTAAATAGATTTGCATTGACAAAAATGTAGATTTTGTAGTAATTTACGTTAAAAGAATGGTGAATACTTTTCACTTGTGATAATATTTAGTTTTCTTTCTTTACTTCTTAATTCCCTTGTTTTTTTAATGGTTTTTGTAGTGTTTTACTACATCCCTTTAAATGCTCTTTAAATTACAAAATTAAAAAACGTGTAAAAGTGTCTTCTAGGCGCCAATAGATGTCAGCTGAAAAGAGGATGGGATAAAGCCAAATAGATAGTCCAGTCAAGATATAAGGAAACTAAATAGTACAAAAAAGTATGGATCATTAGTTTCATAATTCATTACAAACATAGGTTTCATCACAGAGAATCTGATGAAACAAGTCGTAATGATTGGTGTATAAATGCGGAGAAAATAGTATAGTAATTTAATGCCTGAACAATGTTCTCATACGTGAATTCAAAATACGTATTTCGCGAGAAGTATTCTAGAATATCCTAGAATGAACCGTTAGCGGAATAGTCCAATATATTTGTTTTGTTCAGGGGAATCAAAGAGCTGATTAATCACTTACGTAGGTGACGTCTGAGTATTTGAATGTCATTTACTTTACATTCGCGCGTTTAAATTGCTGAAAACGCTCTAAAAGCACGTTTTAGAGAAATCTTCGAGAATATTCGGCATGGATCGGCAACAATAATCAGTTCCTCATCAGCAGACGGAGATCCGTCGAGTGACATTTCGATTTGGGCTCTGAAAAGGTCTACGATAAGAGACGGTCAGATGCAGGTTACTCGATTACTCTCTAAGGATGATTAATGATGTGTGAGGATAGTTGTGTATTAGTATTAATACAGTCACCTTAGCCACATGATGCCCCTTCGTAGAGGTTAGATATCATTCCAAAATAGAAGCTATTGCTGCTGAAAATTATCTCAAGACTATAACATATTATGAGCGCACGGGTGACAAGTGGTACATGCCATTGTGCAAAGACAAAAAAAATATCTCTTCAGATGGCACTACAACAATCAGTTACCACAAAAACAAACATGTCGCCAATTATAACTATTTAATTTCTAATTAAAAAAGCTTTTTTGGCTCTTCAAACTTTTGAGAAATCAATGGTTAACCAGCCTTTTAGAGAATTAATGCATTACAAGTCAGTGATAAACGTATATTTAGGACCTGGTAATACATCTGCTAGGGTTTTGTTTATTTGTTAATATATTTCACGTAACTGCTGGGAACCTTTGTTCACTTATCATTCAACTCTCTCGCGCCGTTAGTACATGGACCCCGAATTTGGTACTAGCATTCAGAAGCCCATCTCAAAATCCTTAAAAACCATGCAATCAATTATCTACACTATCTGATGACATGAGACTGTTTTTTTCGATTTATAAAACGTTCCTCTTAATTATCTACTCGATCATATACGAAACTGGTCATTCAATTAACTTACACCTCTCCTTCATCTACATTTCTCAATTCGTCGCCCTTTCCCGCATTTCCTTATTCCTTCATCGGTACTTATCCCCTACTACCCCAACTTGTCGAAGGCGCACCCGCCGCCTCCGCCGCTGCCTCCGACGGCGCCGCCAGCAAAATCTCCGACATGGTTAAATTTCCGAATGCGCGCGGGCGCCAGGCACGGCACACAGCTGCTGGGACGTCCCAGCGCAG